TGACTATCCGCTGATACGTGACATCCACCATCTGTCCGATTGAATGAAATCGAGCGACACGGAACACTGCAATGTACCCCAATTAGATAATTACGCAGGCGGCAGTATGCTTGCTAAGTTTTAATGCAAAAAAAAACAATGAAAGTAGAAGCAGCGGACTTGTCAAGAACAACTTAATAACGAAATAAGAAAAAGGGGCATCAATTTCTATTCCTTCTACATCAGCCTTCACAAGTTTTTCCGACGAAAGATGCTTACGCTAAGCATTTTCAACTGTGTATTAATTACTAATGGGCCAGATATGAGCCCACGTGACAAAAAAGCCATAAAAACGATTAACATTATTTTAATATTAGGGTGTCCGGAATGTTTTGAGAAAATTTCGCTGCCTCACTTTGAAAAAGCGTAGCGCGCGAAGGCCATGAGCAAATCTGTAGATCAAAACATGGGAAGATAGAGGATTGTCTGTAGATCAAATCAGCAGCTGATCAATATTTCATTTCGTCATTAGCCTTTGTTGTAACCAATCGAATAATGTGCGACAGACACTACAGTCGACGCATCCTACTTCATCTTTACCGTTCCGGCCGCTCCGCCACTCAAGCGAGGAATGAGTCGCTGTCGTCGATGGGTGGCACCCTTGCAACCTGCTACAGGTGGTACGATCGCTTCGCAATGGGAGAGTTTAGCCTCGATGAAGCACCTCGATGCGGACGCCCTCCCTCTTCCAACACTGACATCGTTCTGGCTTCTGTGAGGACCAATCCTGCCCAAAGTTTGAGGGAGTTGGAGAGGACGACTTCCACTTCTCGATCCACTATTCACGGCATTCTGAAAAGGAACGGCTTCCGCGCGGCTCTGCTCGGAACTATTCCGCGGTCTCTTACCGCAAGGGAACGTGCGGTGAGGGTCGACCTATGCCAGAAACTCTTCGATTCGAGAACGACAACGACTTGAGCGAGTTTCATAACTGCTCAGAATGAAAAGTGGATCTCGTACGAAAACCCGGATAGGAAACTGGAGTGGTTGCCGTTGGACCAAAAGCCAGAGCCCGTTCCAAAGCGAGGATGCCACGCCAAGAAGGACTTGCTCTCGTTTTTCTTCTGCTCCACCGGCTGCATTTATTATGAGATTCGTCATGAGGGTACTACTGAAACATCATCGATATTCTTTGAGCAACTACGAGAGCTGGTGTCCAGAGCTCCAGTTTCACATCAGTACCGGGGCAAATTTCACATCGACATGGACAACGCCCGGCCACATGCGAAGGCGACAAGGGACGAGCTGGAGAATTTAGGAATCGAATGGCTGCCCCATGCTCCGTATTCACCTGACCTTAGCCCTTGTGACTACCATGCTTTCAGGAGTCTCCAGGCTTACGCTACGGGTAAGATGTTCAACAACCATCAGGATGTCAAGCGTATGGTCGATGAATGGATTGCGTTCCCGGCCTGCTTCTTTCTGGAAGGAAAGTATCCTTACTGATTTTTCGCTTTTCTTGTTGTTAATATGTGTTGAATAAAATGACCGAATTTTCTCAAAACTTTCCGGACACCCTAATAAAATTGCGGAAATCATGGAGTATTGCAATGAGAGCACGGAACGGTGCCCGTGGCCTGATTACAAAGGTTCTTGAAATTGGAAAAGTTGCACCGCTTAGCCTTCCCCCACCCTCTCCCAACCAGAAGCAGCAAACGCAGAAGGCATGCAAATCACTTACGTTTTCTCATCAAGGCATTCGACGAGGCACTCTTCTAAACTGCCTTTCTTAACTACTCGAGTTACATCTCGTGCGTCCATATAGCGGTCAGAATGATAGGTAAAGGCGTACTCTCCTCCACATTTACGTGTTGCTGAAATAGTCACAGATGAACTAATTAAATAAGGTTTCATTAATAGACGAGTTACTTCTAGGGAATAGAGCACCTCGCCATGAAGAATAAAGTGGCAATGCGCGCAGTTTACAAACTCTTCTCGCATCACCCAGTGATGCCACGACACCGCAGCCGTGTTTATAAGGATTGTTAATGGGAATCGAATGCGTGGCTGATACTAAAAGGGTGATGCCGCGGTACCGCCTTGAGCAAGAACCTTATGCCCAGAAGGGTCGAGCATTTGGTGTTGATTGCACCCCTTCCGTAACGCACCATGTGTGACATCTGAATGAGTACTTGGTCGATGCAATAATGTGCGGGGACTAGCCCATGCAAAAGTCGACTTCCCCAGATCGAACTCGAACCAGTCAGCTGGCTCCGTGAAATGCAAGGGTTAATCGATCCTGAGTGGGACTCGTTGAATATGCTGGAGTAACGCCGCAAAATCTGATGTATGATATTCCCGAACATGACCACTTTTGTCTCCGAGATGCACTTTATATTAACTTCTGCGAAGATAATGAAGCTTTTGGAGTTGATGAAGCCCTTTTTGGAGTGCACCAGCACTAAGTATAAGTGGCTTTGAATGAAACATGACTTGACAAAGGCTTATGGAGACCAGCCAATGAACAAGTTAATGATTTATGCTCCCAGAAAAGTCCGGTAACGATTTGCCCACCTCAAAAGAATGAATGATTTGGTTGGTCTGGAGCGAAGCCAGTAAGAGATCCGGACCATGAGCGCGGTAAGCGCCAATCTGCCGCCGACTTCCAGCAGGGATTTTCTGTCACAAAGCACAACTTTGGTGAGGGTAAGGGAACTTACATAGATTTCTTTGCACTCATCGCATCAACGAACAATGCATGAATTCGTGACGTAGATACTATCTAAGATTCTATCCCGCGCAAAACATAACAGTTTTGGAGCTCCAAACTACACAGGAAATAGATGGCCTTCAAGATTGTTTAGTAGGTTATTATGGCGTCAATTAGAATCAAAAGACACAAAAAGTTCTGGAAAATAACCAAGCCTACGAAGGAATGAAGAGCAAATGCTTACTGTTGAGGCAATACTTCCAGTAGAAAGAGTAGCGATCGTCTGCTTCCACGTAGCCATCCACATTTTGAAGCTGATGTGGTTGAAAGACGTCACAATGATGGGCATAACCATCAGGCGACGGGTGGTGGTTCAAAGCAGCACATTCCAATAATCGGCCTGTAATTTGAAAATTCACGAAAAAGTCAAATCATTTGCTGCAGAAAATATTACTATAAGGTTACTACCAAAATTAATTTACGCTACCTGGCATTTGTGGGTCTTCACCGAGCGAGCATGCATTCTCACATGCACGAAGTGACAGCCGTGCGTTAGCGACTGGCTTGAAATTTAGCCGAACTCGAGGCCACCGAACATAGAAGGGATTGCATGGCGACTCTTTTTCTAAACATATAGCGATAGAAAAAAAAAACTTGACTCTGAGCTGGTCAACTTCCTCCAAGGACAGATTCGGTGGCAATTTTGTCTGGAGGGGTGGCGTAGCTCGTCTCCATGAGTACAAATTTCACATAAGCGTGGCGCGAGTACGCTTGTAGTGAAACACTTGGGATGCAATTCATGGCTTCCGAGCACCCTTCAGCCTCAGCGACTAGGAATGTAAAGATATCGTTTTAGCGAACGGCAGCGTCCACCAGCGTCCAGGAATGGACAGTATGGGGAAGTAGGAGAGTAGCAGACGCTGCCTGCTTACAGAGTATGGGGAAGTAGGAAGGAACAGACAGCTCAATTAGGCGTCGTGATTGCGAGATGTGCAACCGCGCCGAACAACTCCGAAAGTACAGAATTATGTAATTTAATGTACGGTATTGTGTAGTAGTACGGTGCGGTTGCACACACCGCAATTTCACGACGCCTAATCCAGCTGTTTGCTACCCTCCTACTTCCCCATACTCTCTACTCCCGATCGCTGGTGAACGCTGGCGTTTGCTAGATCAAAATGAATACTTTCCTCGTCGCTGACGTTGACGGGCTCTCGAAACGCTGGTTGACGTTGCCAAAAGTATGAACGCACCCTCAACGTTTTTACACAAAACGGATATTGTATACGTGCAAGCTGCCCAGGACACGATTCTTGGCAAAACTACCCTCAATAAGTAATTTCGGTGAGTGAAGTCCATATTTCAAACAGTAGTGTCGTGAGGAGTAAGGAGAGCAGAAAAAAGTTTTCGCAACACCAGATAAAGGTTAGATTCCAAGGCAATCTAAGTTGACAATTTTCCTGGTGCTAATAACTTATGAAAATACAAATTCTTAGTAAAAAAAAACTAACAAAAGTAATTACAGAACTGACCGAAGGATATACGTATAAGGAGAATTAATATAAATAGGTGTCGCATACCTGAAATGAACTATGATCCAAAAGACTAAATCACACTACTCCTAGTGACTGTTTTCTTAGAATAAACGAAAAAAAGATCATTAAAAAACTCGAGCAAGTAGAGATGGCTTAAGAGTAA